AAAGAAAAGCGTCGTGTGGACGAACCAAAAGAAAAGAAAAGCGTCATGCATCATCTATGTTACTGTAGTTTGACTCAACCAGGTTCCAATTGATGTCAGATTCAGATATGATCACTTTCTCTGTCATATATTTCGAATGCGTATGATTAGAGGTGAAAAAAATGCTAGATGCTAGATAAGATTGATTGGACCATATATCCTGAACTTGTTCATCAATATAGGATTTAAATTTTAAATTTTGAGTCATAATTACTAGTTTTTTTTATAACCAGAATCCATCAAATTTGATTAAAACTTGATCGTAAGGATTAGTTAAAATTATAAACCTTCATCAGAAGGATTATTTTAAAGTCTTAAATTAAAACTCAACTATTTTTACTTAGTCTATTGTAATTTGTAATACACATCGAATGGGATAATCTTATTTTATTATGTTTTCATTATATATATTGACTAGTAACATGTTTAGATATAAGTTTAAAATTATTTTTATTTTTTATTATTAATAAAAAATATATAAAAACGTTCATAACTAGTATTTAAATAATTTTTTATCTGTGAAATAAGTGATTATGTGATTTATTTATTTATTTTTATATTTTTTGATATATTGATTAGGTGAAGCTTGAGACATTGCAGGAAAAAAGAATAAGGTGAAAATATCTCAGAATAGTCTTACGTGACGATGCAATATTCAATTTCAATCGATCATGCACCGCTTTATCTTTCACGTACCAAACTTTCAAATTAGTATGGTAGGTAACACTCAAGAATATTAATTTGGTCAACATCAGTGTTCCCAGCGCTTCCTCGTTTTATAATTGATTTCAAATAGTAACACTTAAAACATTTTTAAAATACTACTAAATACAATACCTATTATTTATTATCTAAAAAATATAAATAGCTATTTGCAACTCACCTTTTATTTATGTTTTTTCTTTCTAATCACACCATATTATTTATTAGAGTGTTAGCAGTTATTTATTAGAATGTTAGGTTTGTTATATTTGATTTGTTCAATTTATTATATTTTTTTTCTTTCTATTTTTACCAGTGTTTACAAAACATTTCTCTTATAAATATTTGTTAGCCTGAAAGTCAACGTTATAAGTTAAGACATTTTAACCTTTTGAAAATTAAATCTATCCCATGCATTATCATTATTATTTTGGGAAAAACTAAATTTCAATTTATTTTCAACGTAAAAAATAGTGTGTTGTTGATTTAGTACATCTAGAATCTAAAATGACGGGGTGGTGTGCGACTATGTGAGTTGAGATATTTTCAGTCGCATTTTTTTTTTCACACAAAACATCATAATTTGTATTATATTAATTTTTTTTCTTCATGTTTATGTTAACGCCATTTTTTTTTACATTTGGGCCGGATTTTTTTGTTTTCCATGTAATGTCCATTGTATCCTAACATTGGACTTCAACACGTTATTATGAAGTGAAATCCTAAATAATTAAATTCATAATGAATAATATTTTCTTACAATCATTAAAATATATCTTTAAAAATATTATACAACATTATATCGACATATTATATCTTTTTGAATCAAAGATCACATCATCAAGAATAATATATATCTACTTATAAACAAGAATATTTCTTAAAATATGCAACATCATTTTTAATGGATATAATTTTGGCATGTGATGATATGGATATTATAATTAATGTGTAATTGTTATATATGTAGAGTTCAATACAAAAACTAATCTTTCTTAAGAGTTTAACAAGTATTAAATAGGTGAGTATCCCTTTTAATTTGAGCTTAATATAATTTCTAAACTTGTGATGAGTTTTTTTTATCAATAAGAAAACATAAAATAAAGAATTACATCTGAGTGAACAGAACATCCATTACATCTGTCACAAGGAGAGGATGAACTTGTGATGAGCTTTAAAAGTATCTTATTTTAAAAAAATAAAAAGATAAAAAATGAGATATAATAAATAATATGACAAGGAGATAAATATAAAAAAATAATATGTATATCTCATACCTATTTAAAACGATTCCTTTGATTTCCTTCTGCTAAATGATCATATAAATTTTCGGCCATGGATATTGTTGAAAATTAAGGCAGGAGCTTCTAGTTGTTAGTTTAAGAATGGTGTATCGGTACTTCAGAATTTATTAATTCTTGATTTTTTTTGGCGAATATTTCTTCCCTATGGCTATGGGTTTGAATAACTATTATACTTTCTTTATACATGTTATTCTTTTATCATAAAAAAAAACATATATATAGTATAAATTAAATGTCTGTTTTGGATAAATTTTACTATAAATATTTCTGAGAGAAAAAAATGAAATAAAGTTTTCAATGTAACTTACGCATAAATTAATTTGTAAAAATTATTTTATATTAATTTTTTTAAAAAAAAGTAATTTTAACTTATGCATTAGTTATTTCTAACTTTTAGACAAATTTTATTTTATTTTTCTTTATACGTTTTTGTCTTAAAAATGTTTATGAGTTTTTTTATCCAAACAAACCGTAAAGGGTATAAGTTTCACTTATTTTTCCTTCACAATAATATACATTTACAATATAAGATTTCAAGTATGTATTGTATTATAAATATTGTTCAAAATACAAATATATATATATATATATATATATGTATATATATAT